TACAGTTTTATAAGCGAAACAAGGCCAGTATTCTTCGTAGTATTGTAATGAGTACCAAGTAATGATAAGATTTTTCTTTGGTCAAAAATGTGGTGGTAAAGTTTGCCGATGCTTTCTTAAACTTTAACCACCCAAATCTGACTGGTTTCTCCTTGAGTTTAAGTGAGCAGGTGTGATCACGTTTACAAGATTAGGACAGGTTTATCGACAGATGGGCAAACAGATAATATAACTCAGTGAAATAACAATGTGGTCTAGCTATAGATGAGTGTTTTCTTGTGCAGGAACCTTCATGCGGAGACGTACAGGGACCTGCATAATTCCTAATTCCTAGGTCATCTGTTTTTATTAGCAATCCACACAGTCTGTACAGAGGAGTCATCAATAAATCCACCCAGTGAAGTGCCCTCAAGCTTTATATTTTATTAAAGTCGGAACCACCACCACCAAAAAAACAACAACATGTCCAGTTCACATCAGAGGTGTTGAAGACTCCTACTCTTTTAGAAAATACATCGCTTAAAAGAGAGAAACTCGGGTAGTTGTAGCGGTGCCATTGTGTGGGCACAGTTTGGTCTGTAAAGTGAAAAAGATGCCGTTGTGATAAATGAGCCTTCAGTTCTCGGGAAAGCTTGTGTTTCATCTTGTCTTTCTGCGCTTCCTCTCGCTCTTTGTCCTTATGTCCTCACATATTGACTACCTCCAATGCATTTGTCATTCTGAGCGTTGTCTCTTGGCTTTAATACACCCTTCTCGAGTCCACCATATCCATCACTTTGTGGCTCTTCTGCACTTTTCTCCACATCTTTTTCTGCGTTCCTACTTTAACAGTTTCTATAATACGGTACGCTGGTGTCTACGCTTCCTCCTCCACGGTTGGGTTTTCTTGACTTGATAGAGCTGGTTGTGGAGCTGATCAGATGTTAGCATAGCTGTGATTTGACATTTGTCAAATCACCCCTCCTAGATTATTTTGCCACACCTCAGACCATAGGCATGCAGCAGCAGATATATCAAAAAAGTATTTTTCATGATAATTTGGAGGGAGCAGGTGTGTTTTTTTTTTTTTGGTTTTCTTTACTTCCCCCCTAACATTTGGTGATATGAGACCACAAAGCCACCTCCTCGGGCTGTTCTGTTTGGGACCGCTGGAAGCCTGCAGCGGCCTGCCTAATTACCCCTCTCCCCTCCTCCCTCAGTCTCCCTCCCCTCTCACCATCTGTTGACCTCATGTCATTTTGTCTTCCTTCACCACTGCTGCTCCATTTTTTTTCCCTTCCTCCCTTGCTTCTACCCATTTGCTCCAGCAACTTCCCAACTTCTTTCCTTCTCCTCTTAAAATAGCAAGTCAGAGACACAGAGAGAGAAAATAAACAAGAGAGACGCCCTTTAGTTTTTACCCTCTGTCGAGTCAGTGTTTATGAGCGTGTGACTGGTTTTTCTGTGCTTTTGCTGATCCCTGCCAGCGCAGACTGAAGCCCTCCACAGTCAGCCGGCCGGCGCCTTCAAAGGCTCCTCCTCGCTCGCAAACTATATGGAATTAACTTAATGGAAAGTTACAGAAGTGAGGCATGAAAGCACAGCTCTGAACCTGCACGGGCTCAGACCGAGCGAAGCAACACAGCTGCGTTCATTTTTATTTATTTTATAAAAAGCTGTCAGGAATAAACTTTTGTATACCTTTCAGCAGCCACGTGATGTAAAGCCATATGGCAAAGGCTGTGTGTGTTTGTGCGTGCCTGGGTTTGTGTGGGGGTAGGTAAACGAGTCTGTAAAAACTAGGTATCAAATTCAACCCCTCGAGCTCCTTCCCCCACCCCGCTTTAAGAAAATATAAATCACATGGCATTCTTCACTTATGACTCATTGTCTCCATTTTGCGAATACTTTACTGCTTTATTTCTCTCCCCTTTCTTGGCTTTGGCTCTCTTATTACCCACATTCCTCTTTCTCCTGTGTGTCTGTCCTTATTTTCATCTGGTTCTTTTCTTCTTCTTCTGCTTCTTTCTTTCCTCTCCATCCGTCTCTTCCAGTCCCTCCTCTCTTGCAGACAGATTGATTCCAGATGTTGCTAAACTTCCTCCCCCTCTTTCCCCCCCTTCTGTTCTTCTACGTAAACTCCTCCTCCTCCTCCTCCTCCTCTCTCTCTTTCTCTCTCGCTTTTTTTTTCTTCCCAAAGTAGAACCAGCAGCGACTCTGCAATTTGATGGTCACGGGTAATTTTGGTTTGGATTTCAGTGGCATTCCAGTTGTCCTCCTTGGTAGTGCAGTGCCTACACCCTTACTTGTGATGAGAAGTGATGAGAGGGAGTGTGATGAGAATGCACATTTACGTCATTAATCACCAGTAGTTGAGTGTAATTTTTTTCTCATACCACCATTTAAAGAATAAATAAGCAGTGCAGCTCCAGTTTTGTAAACCGCATCGTCACTTCAGGCCTTTTTTGAAACACACTGCAGTGTGGGTTGTTGGGCCTGGGGCTTTGTGGACTTTAAATTCTGCTCTGAACGGCCCTCCTTTACTGCATTTCCATATGCTCTGCATCGAGCACCAGCAGCTCGCCACGCAGTCAGTATGTCGTTCGATGTAAGCCTGCCCATTCCCACTGTAAGTGCGGCGCACCAAGGAGAATGATCCCCCTGGGGACAAGGCACGAGGGGGAAATTGGTTCCAGATGAAACAGGAAGTGGGGAGAGGAGACAAAGAAAGGGCTGTTTCAAGCAAGAGGGGGACGGGCCCCGAGTCTGGACAGTCCCGCCCAGAGTTAAGAGTTTACAGCTCATGCATCAAAAGAAAAAAAGAAATGGTTTCTTATTTTCATTTTTTACATCTGGTCCATTTTTTATTTTTTTTTTAAAACCAAAACATCATACTCACTTTTCCCCATTTGGCTTCCCTCTATCCCCCTCTCTGTCTAGACACTACTTCTTTCCATTTCTTCATTCTCTTGTGTATCATCATCATCATCCCATCTGTGTTTTGGTCTTAGCCTTCATATCTCTAACCTCTCCAGATTAAAAGCTGTTTGTCTTTCTGTTTACGCAATCTGCTGCGGTCCTACCGGGCCCTTCTTCCTCACGCAGGCTTGCCCTCGATTGGCCGAATGAACGTTTGGAGCGATGGAGCTATTCCCGCGGCAGGCAGCTTCGGGGTCAGGGCCGGGAGGTTAACTCTGTTGAGACTCTTCAGAAGCCAAATCTGCCCCTTCTCATTGCTGCGGCATTACGGGGCCCACCCTCGAAGTGCTGGCCGAACTGAGGGGCGCGTTCATGCCAAAGTGTAGGGGGGTGATGACCAGCACATGGATTTGGAATATTTTGCTGATTAAATGTAATGAAAACATCAGCAGTTCTAAAAAAGACTTCAAACTCACCCCCACCCTCTAACATGTACACATACACATCTTTCTTTCCCCCCTCGGAGGCCTTTCCCCTTATCCTCCTCCCTTCCCGCTTTCTCCCTCCAGTGAGACTCATGCCTCAGCTCCTTATCGAGAGCAGAGGCATGAGTCTCGCTAGGCGGTCATGTTTGCTCTTCGAGGCATGCCAGCAGGCTAGACTGTACCGGAGTGATCTCTCTCACTGCTGTCAAAATATCATCGTTTAGTTAACTTTCCCCATTGTTCCAGTCCTCCCCCATCTCCCGCCTCCTTTTTGTCTTTTCATTTTTGCCCCCTCCTCTTCACTGAGCTCTGTAGCAAACAATGGCTCCTCTTGCCGGGGCAAAATGACACAGAGGGGGGAAAATAATAGTCACAGAGAAAATAGAGCGAAAGAGACAGAAATAATCTAATTAAAATTAATTACAGAGCAATTAACCACAACACTGGTTTCTGAACAGGGGTGATGAGGGATGGGCTCGGTGGATTTTGATTGGTTGGTGGGACTGGATAGAAAAGTTTGCTAAGCTGCAGTGATGGTTCATCAGTCACGGCCTCCACAAGACTGTTAACTGTTAACTTCATTCAGTCATCAGTTGTTTTCCCACGCAAGAACGTCGTCTTTGCTCGTTTGAACTTTAGTCCCCTGCTAGTGTTCGGGTGTCATTTAAGGTCTCAAAATGCTTGAAGTACTTTGACCTGTGCTTTTAGATTACAGAAAAGGATAGTGTGACAGTATAAATCCTTCTGCTTTCACAAGTTAGGTTGAGATTTTTTGTTCAAGAGCGCGTCTCATCTAAAACGCACAAGTTTCTTTGGAGCGCCATTGCTGCATCCACTCACTTCTCAAAAGCACAGCCACTTACGCTGCTCTCATCCCTCCTGTTGTCTCTTGCAGAACAATGAGCCTTTAAATCCCGGTTTCCATGGATACCAACCTCACAGTCAGGTAAGAGACGAGTGACTGCTCGCAAATCTCTGTTACAATAAATTGCCAAAAAAAATAATGAAATACAAAATCCTTGACTTACTCAACAGTACGCCTGCTTTCAGTCGTCTGATGGTAAAAAGCTGGAAGTGAGTTTGTGAAGTCCACTTGAATCAAACACTGTTTGTTCATGGGATAAATAAAACATTTTGGTATTCTTCAAATGGGACCTGTTATGTTTATGTTGACCTCCATATTCTTGTTCACTGCTAAAATAGTTTTGTTTACAGTTTAAACTGATCCCTGATCGTCTTAGACGCTGGACTCGGTGCAGCCCCATTTTAAACCAGCTTTATTCTGATTGGCTGCACCTCACAGGCACAAGGTTGGACACGACTGTGCGCCTTTGGTATCCCTATGAGCAATAGCCGCTCTCGCTGACGTCACACAGAGCAAGAGTTGAAAACACTGTCTGAGTAGGATGAGGCCTGATCTTACTTTTAAACTTCTTTTATCAATTTATACTATACGTGGCATATGATAAGGATAGATGGACTGGCTCAGCCCCCTTTTAAATTGAAAGTTACACTTGTGATAGTCCACTTTCACGTCAGTCTTCTTGTACTGTAAAAAATGGTAGTGTTGTCCTCACCATCCTCACATATGTAGCAGGATTCAGTCTGTTTTTACGACCACATTATTATCCAGACGGTAATGAAAGCCTTGCCTCACCTTTGGTAGCTCATCTCTCTTCGAGGAATCGATGGAAGAGAAACCAGTGATGACTGAGCTTCTCTTTCAAAGACTTGATTCTTAGCATAATTTCTCTCCACTCTCTATCACCTTCTTCGCCTTGCACGCTCTGTATGCGGGGATTTTCTCACAACGCCGTTCAGATCCCCTTCGCACTTCTCTCTCTGTCTTTATGCCTCTCTCTCATATTCTCTGTTTCGTTCTCATTCTGAATGTCTCACCAGCATATTGCTCTCAGTAATGAGTGACTTATATGTGCAGCGGCAGGGTTGCTGACTATTTTCTTATCTACCTCCAAGCAGCAGAGCGCATTGAGCAGCTCAAACCAGCTCAGTGCCCGTGTGTGTGCATGCACACGTGCCATTTGAGTATGTTTATGGGTGTGTGTGTGTGCGCTTTTTGTCTTCGTGCGAGCGTTTGTGCATCTGAGGGCTGTGTTTTGGGACGTGCAGCTCTCTGGCAGTGCCACAGGAGGGAAGTGTTGGCCTGTGAGCTTTCTCGCCCCCCAGCCTCCCTCCTTGCATCACAATATGGAGCTTCTCACAGACCTCATCCTCTCATTTAGTCTCCTCTCCCTCCTCTGCTCCCTGCACTCCACTCCTGCTCTACCGCTGGTGACATCTCTCGTGGGAGTGCAGCTCTCGGAGAACGCGAGGGGAGACACCAAAAGAATTTCAGGCTTTCGGGCTTCAAATCACATTTATTACAATTTCTGGGTGGATGTCAACCTGACGATTAAAAACAAATGTTGTGCAAGAGATTAAAGGCGAGACAGGAAGACGAGAAATAAAGCAGGGAAGTGGCACAGAGCTAAAACTGAAATGGAAGCAAGTTATTTAAGATGGCTTGCCCGCAGGGGCACACAATCAGTTTCTTAGTTAGAGCAAGCTTGTATTCCAGTCTCGGCTCTCCTCTGCCCGAGTCCATCTGTTTGTAAGACAAACACCTGGGCAGTGAGATCACTTCTGATCTGCAGCGTGTGTGAACTCTCGCCCGGTGTTAAATTCAGAGCCACGGCATACCTCTGCATTTGTTTTATAAATGATTTAAAAAGTCGTCCCTGCTAATGTATTCTGCCCTTGAGCACACACATTAGGAGTCTCCAGCACACTGCTGGTTATCATGCAAATGGAGTTAGCCAAGCCTAGCTTTGCAAGATTGGCTTGTTCACCGCTGCAGTGCATTTGTCTCTGTAATGCGTCTGTCTTATGTTATTTATGCACATTTGAACTGCCCGCAGGTCTGCCCGCGTCAACACGAACACGTTTAACTGGGGACGCCGCTGCCATACGTCTCCTGTTCTCTAAGGGGGGGGGGGAGGGGTGGTCAGTCCTCTGGGGCTGCGGTTTCCTGATGTTTAGAGTTGATGATCAGAGTTAAAGACACACATACAAACAAGACAGAACCAGCACACCTAAGCGTTTCTTTGGCATTTAGCAGTAGATGTAATAACCTGCACACACGAGGTGCAGTTGTTGTGAACGTGTCCTGCAGAGTAGTTGAGCAGGGCTGCTGATCATCTGTAGATACCGTGTTTGGAGAACAGGCCTTTGTTTGGACGAGCTGGTGAGCGCTGGATGGATATAGCCCTTTGTTTGAATCCATGTGTGTCTGTTTTCCAGCCAAGGTGCAGCAGCATGGATATGATCAGAGCGCATCTGCGTGTGTACGTTCGGTGCATGTGTTTGTGTGTGACTGCATGTGTTTATCGCAGTGTTTCAGCCTGTGTACTTAATCCCAGGATCATCCCCTATTCATCCTCTCATCCTCCTCACTTACAGCCCTAATCCTGTCATCCCTCGCTCTTTTTTTTCCCCCCTCCACCCAACGTTTTTATCCATTTATCTCCCAATCCTGTTATCTCTCGCTCACATCCATTGCCCCCTTCAGTCCCTGTCCCCCTCTACTTCATCCCAGCTCCTTTTCCGTCTCACCCCCTCTCTCTGCCATCACCACCACCACCACCTCTGTCCATTCACTTTATCTTTCCCTCCATCCCTCTGGACCCAGTTCTAGCCAGACTCAGCAGATGTCTGAATGCTTGGCATCAGGGCTTTTTTTTCCCCTTTTTTTCTTTTTTCCCCCTGCAGAGTTCAGTTCCTCCCATATGAAAATGCAGCGCAAGGAACTGCACTCTCATCCCTGCAAATTAAACGCCTCCTAACAATACAGTGTTGGAAAGTGACGGAACTGAGCCAAGAAGAAAAAGGTGCAATGCAGCGTAATGTTCAGGTTGAGGTTTAGGTAGTGGAATCGGGGCTGGCGCTCGCTCAGTTTTGTGAGACTTCCATCTGTGTGAGGAAGACAGCTGCAGCAGAGAGATGGTGATCTAGGAGCCTACCCACGCAGCTAGCTACCTAGCTGTCTACCGGCTGGCCTACCTACCACTGCTTTTTTGGAGCTGACAGGCTGCCACGCAATAAATAAATCATCAAAAAAAGCTGCAATGCAGTGGGGTCGCATTCGTGTTCTGTACTCTCAGGCAGCCAGTGCGTGGATAGAAGGCAGCATCTTCTTCCTTTCCCGTTTCTTGTCTCTCTCCGGGGGCTTTAGGAGACGGCAAAGACAGCAGCTTTCTGACTCCATCCAGACACAGGGTTAGATTGCTATATGGAAGGATGGATGCTTTGATGGATAGGAGGGATTGAGACTGAAAGGGAGGGAAAGTTTTAAAAAGAGGGGTGGGAACAAGAGGAAGCAAAGGGGGGGAGAAGAGCAGGAGGACGTGTAAGGCGAGTGTGTGAATGACAGACGCAGAGCAAAGAGAGAAGAAGAGAAGAGACTCGGGCTGGCAGGAGGAGAGAGACGGAAAGGCCCGAGGGGGATCAGAGCAGCAGGGCCGGAGAGACGAGCAAAAGCGAGGCAGAGAGTGACAGGCTGACGAGGCTCGCGTGCTGGAGAGGTAGAAGAAGCAACACCGGCAGGAGGAGGAAGAGGGAGTGAACGAGGGAGAATTTGAATGTGTGAGGCAGACGTGGACTGAAGCCATCGTCAGCTCATGGTCCTGGAGCACAGACACGGGAGAGGAGGAATAGGAGGAGAACGAGAGACACAGACGGAAAAGGAGAGGAGAAGGAACGGGAAAGTGGAAAGCTGGTCAGCAGTTGTTCCTTTAGATCAGACAATGATGGGGCTGTACTACCAAGCTATGCTACCGGTGAGTTCGCATCTCAAGCAAGAGCTTCTTTCTCTGAAGTGGCTTTTTAGTATCGCGAGGGCCAAACTAGCAAAACAAGATACAATGTAAATGATTTTTTTGTTGTTATTTATTTTATTTAATTTGGCGTGATGAAGCGGTAATTGCTTTGCTGTTCATGGTGTGGCCTGCTCTGGTTAGCTGTGTCTTGGCCCAGGTAAGGCCTTTTTCAGATAGTTGGCAGAGCATCAGGCCGACAGCAGGGCTTGTCCCTGCAGCTCTGCTCATTTCACTTTTTTTAACTCTTTGCACCCATCTGTGATTGTTTTGATAGAAACGAAATAATTTTAGTTTTGCTTTTTTTTTTCTTCTGTTAACCATACAGCATTTTGTCCTGGTGACACTGAAGTGCTGACAATACACAGGAGCAAAGCGTGTGCTTGCAGGGTATCAGCGCACTTGCATTAATAGTTACTTAACACCACAGATTATAATGTTTATACAGTTGATGTGTTGTGCGCAAGGCTGCTCTTAACATATGGTGGGCGTGTCTGTGCTACTTTAGCTCAAAGACAGCCTCAGGATGAGAGCTGTTCTCTGGCTCTGTTCTAGCATGTCCTGCTCTCTGGTCTTGGGTTCCTTTGGGCCTCGAGGCGGGTGTCGGGAATTGGGGGAGATGTCTGTGAGGCACCCGCGTGCAGACGCGAAGTAGCAACTGCTGCTTGGATTGCCTGTGCTGACATGTATGTACATTGGGCACTGCGAGCCTTCTCCATGCTGACTGCACACTGTGTCAGATTATATTCCATATGGATGTGTGTCTGTGTGTGCGCGTCGTGTCGTGTCATGTCACTTGCAGAGGGGTGCAGGCTGAGATTTTCTTCAAGCTGTCCATGCGGTTTAAACTTCATCTTTGGATTGAGGAAGACAGGTGCTGAAGCACAGTTGTTACTTTACACACACACACACACACACACACACACACACACACACACACACACACTGCAGTTCCTGGAGTACTTTACTACCACCCCCTCCTTTCCTAATGGCAAAACTCAA